TTTATGGACTAACAATGATACTCAGACGTCCCGTGACCATGAACGCCGTAAAGGGTTCGAGACGTCGGGAATTAAAACTAAAAATAAACGCGATAAATCCGTTAACATACTTTCATTTAGTGATAAGAAAGACAGACAAAAGACGAAAAAACTGCAACGAACGTAAAATACACAAGAACAGGCTAAAAGAACATTTGAAAATTAAACACTAACGGAACTCGGTGGTTGCGTAGGACTGAAAGATAAAATAAAAGGAGCACCTCTCAGACAAATCGTGCAATTACGACGTGATTCAATAGGTGCATTCCTTAATTCCTCCAATCAGGACGCCCACCGTATCCCGGTTAGTGTATACACGGAGGTCCAGATTTAGGGAGCGTACACGGCGGAGCTCGCTTAGCGGGCGGCGGCGGTTTCTTAAGATATTTTCAAGTGATAGTGTACAAAATAAAGTTTACAAATGATATGATATAAGGCAATTCAATATACCGTAGCCTTTTTGAAAAAAAAAAAAAATAAGTAGTAAATATTAAATTTTATGGGAATGGAAATTTTAAAGGGCGATTAATGGCGACCCCAGGATAAAACTGTTGTTTTAATTTTGAGCACTAAATGTTCATTTGTTTTTTTTATATATGTAACTTGGAAAATACCTAGGCTGAAAGCATTTTATCGTAAATGACCGTAATTATCATGTAGACTAAACGCACTATCTTCATAATGTGTTATAAATGTAGTTTACGGCAATGAGATTATACAACCACAGATTTAAACTCTTAAATTTTAATGCCTTGTATACACTATTTATTTGTTTTATACATGCAAATATTATACAAGACCTTAATCGTATCGTCAAACACTGTCGAGTGTTTAAGGTCGTAAAACGTATCATAAATATGCGTTACGTGGTAACGTGTAGTATTTAGCAATTATGTATGATAATACATACCTGATGAATACGGTACTAATTTAATTTGAAAGTACATTTATTTAGCAAATTACTCTTTTCTATCTAGTCCTACTTTTGTCATATTTATGTGGTTATTGGAGATGAAGCTTAGATTCAAGAGTGGGTAACAAGTACGCCAGAGAAAACCAAAACATCCATGCTTCAGGTCATTTCATCCTGATGGTTGACAGTGATAGTGAAGATTACCAAATGCTAGACACAAATATAAGATCGGGATTTTGTACTCAAGAGATCCGCAATACGAAAAACTCGGGTTCTATCGCAAGGTATCAAATCCGCAACCAGCAGAGAGTTATTTATTCAATAAGCGAAATGTTTATACACGATCTACAGAAATAACTTGTAATTAATTATTATTTTTATCACTTATTTCACTAATAATAATAGTTATTAATAAAAATAGTTGTTTTAGTAGTCCGTGACATTAGACTTATTCAATCGCTGGTCTACTGACTGCGGTCTTATCCCAAACCGGTAATATCTGATATGTGTATAGCATTTAATCTCGATCTAAGCACAATACAGCGCAATTATCAATTCCGGTCAACGCCTACTCAGTAAAGGTAGGCATACCATTCTGTACTTTTAATTTCATTTTTTGATTTATTCGATACTGTCATAAATTGCCGTATGCGACTTCTCTATACGTTACGAACATTCTTCGCGCAAAAATTGGGGTATCTTGTATATTCAGTAAATGAACTAAAATGGTTAATATACAGGGAGGCTTTTCTAAGTGTATCCATTTTTTTAATTAAACTCTAGACATAAATAGTGTTATATAAATTGATAAATATATAAAATCACTCGTAATTAATAAATTACATTCATTTTAACTCATCTTAAAAAGTGCGAGATTTATGGGGAATTCATTTGTTTTAAGCGCGACACAACGATACATAGCGATAACTAACACGCACACAAGTTCTTTTCGAAAGTATACGACGCATTTATGAATGACTTGTCAACAAGTTCTGTTTTTTAGGGAATAGTATGGCAATTTTTTTGAAAAAGAAATAAAAGGTTGTTTTTATTTCAATAAACGATTATACTACCGAGTCTGAACCTCCTGTGTAAATTTGGGCAACTTTAGAAAAGCCACCCTGTATTTGTTGGTTCTATAAAGAAGTTAAATTTTTATAATAGTTTTTTTATGTGAAAAGTTGCCAATCGAGCAGACGGTTCACCTGATGTTAAGTGAATACCACCGTCCATGGATATCTGCTACAACCGACGGTTTGCAGATGCGTTGACAACCTTTTTGAAAATTGGGCTCCGGCTACCTCACTCACCAGGCGAAACGCGAAAGTATTTGTCATACTTCCACTTTACGCCGGTCTTCTTTGAGGTTGTGGTACTTACCCGGACGAGCAATAATTAATGGGCAGCATTCGTGCGTGGTACTTTCTCGGACGAGCCTGCCTAACTGCGTGCAACAGCCGAGGTTGCTGCGTGGCCCTACCACAGTTAATAATTTTTGAATATTGTAAATAATTTTATTCCGTAAGTAATGTAATTAAAATTATTATTTAATCTTTCAAACTAAAATAGATAAAAGAAGAAAGACTGCAAATAAGGAACTGTTATATACTAACTATAATCCTTCTTTTTCTGCAATTGAAAGCATTAAGCTTTAGCTAATTCTAATTAACTAAATTCTGTTTAAACAAATTAAAAGATTATTTTCATACATTTGTATTATTATATTATAATATAGATCTAAAATTCACAGCTTAATCATTCGTGAAACACATGTGATGTAATTTTACAACAAGTAAATAAGTACCAGATTGCTGTGTTCTAGCCATTAAGTCATTAATTTGTTTTGTAGATATTCAAGTCGGGGTTATAAATAAATGTAGTGCGTGGAATCTACATTCAGTTTCACCAACCGGTGCAAAATACACGAAGGAATTTTCCATGACAACGAAAAGTCATTGCTCTAATGATTCTGTATTGATACTGAATGGTAGATTAATGTAACTAATGATTCTAGTTGCAAAATTTTCAGTTTTTTAGTTAGTTAGCTATAGGGGTTTGCAATTTTTTTCATGCAATTTATTGTATTTCTCTCGAGTAACGATCAGATCAAACCTATGGAATCGTATTGTAGATCTCGCATCTCATTCAATACTATAGTTTGGAAATTTCCGTACATTAACATATATAAATAGATTTTCGTCTTCATCCTGACAGGCCGTATGAAGTATAAGTTTTTAGACAAAGGTAGAAGACCTTCCTAAAAACCAGAGGAATAACGCAACCAAAGAAAGTACAAGACAATCCGCTAAAACGTATCGTCATAGACTCGTCTTTAGATATTATTAAAAAATTATAAAACAAAGTATTTCATTAAAGGTCTAGAAAACCGTGTCCTATGCTAATGTGATGAAAAACAGTTAAGAAAATCGAAATAATGCCGGGAAAATTGAACCGCAGTAATATGAAGGGATTTTACTGCGGTTAAACTGCAGACTTCACAAACAAGTCCGTATTAACTTTCTTAACCCTTTCCCATCATCCTGAAGGTTGGCAGCCCGAATGCAACACCAACGGTGGATGAAATACGCCTTAATATCATTTTAACTGTCCCTTTTTTATCCAATATCTTTCATAAACGTCTGCTCAACTGTTTTTGCCAGTGCAAGCATTCGATCCAGTTTCGCGGTTGACATTTTGTCGTATGGGCTGTGCCATGTTTAATTGCCAGTCCACCTTGTCCGTAAAAGCTGTTTAAGTGCATGCTCGATGCCTGGTTTTGAATCAAAGCCGAGTGCAGTCTTGTCAGTTATTTTACGTAACATATTTTTAAACGTTAAATAATGTTAAAGTGTTGCACTGGCAATTTGCAATAATGAAGTAAAGTAATGAATAAATCAATCGACTTGATTTTATGCGAATTTAAATATTTTATAAATAATGGGATTTATCAGTTTGGGATCGCATAATACATAAAATTGAACCCAAGCATACCAATACTGCTAGACCTCAAGATACCATAAACTTCTTTTGCGTAGATGTGAATAAAATAATAAAATAATTGACGGTGGCCGGGGTTAACTATGACATCAAGACGTGTAACAACTCATTCTGTCCCGTGACCATGAACGCCGGAATGGGTTCGAAACGTCGGGAATATAAAAAATCTAAGTAAACGCGACGAAACCCGTAAAATTGTTTAACTTCAAAAGATTATCTAATTGGGATCTGGTATCCATAAGCTTTTAGTTTGGGAACTAAGCAAAGTTTATGCTACCGGGTAACTGATAAACACACTTAAACATATAAAGGTAGTGGGTTCTAGTGCCAAACATAACAAACATTTGTGTGACCAACAGATAATAGTTCCGCATATGGTTGTTTATTCCCAAGGAGTGTTGACGCAAGGCAGGCTGCCGGTTGTAAAACAACCTAGCCAGTACTATTAACAACATGATTCTTGTAATGACTGCATGAGGTCTGTTATCTGTACCACTGTTGATAATTGAGGTAACAAAATCTAAATTTTACGTTGAATTCAAATTTCATCCACGCCACAAGTCCAGCGTTCCACAACAGTGCGATTCTCAAGTAATTTCCTGCCTCGCAGAACCACTCTATGGAACCAGCTTCCGCCGGCAGTATTTCAGAATCGTTACAGCCTGGACCTTCAAGAAGAGAGCATACTCTTTCCTAAAATACCGGCAACGCATTTGTAAGCCCTCGGGTGTTGCAGGTGTTAATGGGCGGCGGTAATAACTTACCATCAGGTGAGCCTCCCCCTCTCTTGACCCTTTTCTTCATAAAAAAAGCCAACTGAACAATTCAATGAACGTGAACACAGCAGCATAATATGAAACGTCTGCAGTTAAAGTCAAAACGTAGCGTGAATCCGTACGGTACTTTTATTCAAACGTGTAAAATTCGCGACAGCTCATTGCTTAGGACAATGGACTTACGGTGTTAAGGTACTAAATTAAAGGAGTTTGCAGATGTATGGTTGTGTGATCACTATTTTAAAAGGGTGTTTTTCATTCGTTATGTTTTCCAGCCTGAGGCGGAGACGGACTCCGAGGGGCGGGGGACGCAGTCGGGTGACCACACGCTGCGCTGCGGCTGGGGACTGTTCCGGCCCGCCTGGCTGCAGCGGTTCCGGACAGCGAAGTGGGCACTCTTCTGGCTATGTTGGGCTGGCGCTATACAGGGTGAGTCGAACAACACTTCGGGACGAACAGAAAGGTCGATCGCGCTGGCAATATTCTATCATACACATTTAATACATTGTCGTAAGCAAAATAGTATATTTCATTACGAGTGCGGAAAACCTGTCATTGCAAGTTGCAATGACGGTTCCGCACGTGAACTGAACAACTATTTTTAATACAGTTGTGAAAAAATTAAGCAATTTAATAGAGTAATAAAAACACAGAATAATATAATAGAATGAAAAAAGTTTGGAAAATGGCGCCAACCGTAAAAGAATATAAGCAGAGATTTTTTTTGTTTTCTTCAACCATTCCGGGTAGGCAAAGGGCCGCCTATAAACTATGCCCGCCGTATATAAACAGCCTTCAGTAGATTTTTTTTATTGATATGAAATGAAAATGAAATTTAATGAGATGAAAAGAAATGAAACCTAACCTAACTCATTAAATCTGATATTGAAACAAATTAGTAGTTTCTTTTTAGAAATATTTGCATGAATCATAAAAACTTCTATGATTTTTTTTTGGAAAAACTTCGTGGTTGGTTTTTTTTTAATAGACATTATTTTGACACTTGGGAAAGAGAACGCACGAGTTCGGAAAAGGTAAAGAAAAAGCTCGAGTATGTAATAGCCCACATCCCGAACGCTATACGTCCCTGCCATACGCCACTTTTTGAGCAACTGTATTAAAAACATAGTGTAATGTCTTTTTATTGATTATATGAAAATTAAAAAAATGAAAAATAGCTAACCATTCGTCACGATATTTTTTATAGCCTCGCGGGCATGATAGATTTTTAATATTAATTGGTTATTGTGTTCCTTTATCACTTAATGGTCTATTGTGTTACTTACAACAGTGCAAGCGTAGCTATCGCGACTATGATAAAATCGCGGCAAAATTTGTGTCATGAGTAATGAAGATATTAAGTGCATGAAGATGCTTGAGTCGTCGATGTCGAGTGTCATAGATTACATGTCAAAACAAAATACAGCCTACAGGCACCAACACAAATTACAAGTTTTTGAAATGGTTAACAAATTAGGAAATCCGGATATTATATAAAATCGGATATTATTTAAGTAGACCTAACAGAGCAAGGTTTTAAATGTATGCGGAATAAATGAAATGGTTGAATTTAAAACAAAATTAGTTGCATCTAAAGAGTTTAAATAATAGAAATGTTATGTTATTTGCCACATTATAGGTGAATTGTAGGGTAAAATATAATTACGCCGATTCTTAATATCTTCCACTTCGCCGTAAAAATACTTCCACTTACGGCCTCCAATTAAAACATCGTTAGAGCGAAATTCGCTCACTGTCAAGATCAGCCTTAGATTACTTTTTAAACAGGAGACTTAACAAAAAGACTACTTAATTTATTGACGAACCTAATGTTCATTTTATAAAGGAACGCTTATATGATCACTCTCTTGTCCGTCTCCGTCCGTGTATCACCACCGATTTTCTCAGGAACGGGTGGACCTAGCAAGTTGAAGTTTATATCAGATACTGAGGTCTATAGTCCCTATTAGGTGTATAAAAATCAAGGTCCCTGAATCAACAAAATAAAAAGATATGGGCAAATTTATATTTTCGCGAAAACTTGTGAGCACGTGATAAGTCAGCACTTAAAATTAACAATTTCTCTGACGCCCGCACCGGGGATCGAACTCAGGTTGCTCGAGCATATTGAATTAAAAGTGAGGGCTCGAACAATGAGCTGTCACGGCTACACTGAGATATGGGCGCAAATTAATCGGCCATCGGTATCCTCTCGCAGTCTACTCGCATACATCACGGGGGAATATGTTCGGAAAAACTTGCGACGCGCATTTGTCGAAAAAATCGCGTCATTTGACAACCTTTTGAACTTCATTGTAGTGGAGTGCGTATCGATATAGTGGTCAGATATGTTCATAGCAAGGGCGGATTTTTATATACATACTAGCCGACCCGGCAAACGTTTTGCCATATAAATTATTTGTAGGGTAGAAAAAATTATGTGATGGACCACCCTTATCACTTAGATGTATAAAAATTAGTTATAAACCTATTCTCATACCAACTGAATGTACCTTCATATAAAATTTCATCAAAATCGGTCAAGCCATTTCGGAGGAGTATAAACACTAAAACTGTGACACAAGAATTTTATATATTAGATAGTATTAATCATACAACATATTAATCACGTATTTAATATTTACATATAATTAATATGTATTTATTTATGATATGATCTTCTTCAATGGTTGATTGTATGACCTAGGATGTCAGCATAGAAATGTATAATGTAATGACTTCGATTAACCTTTGTCTTCTTTCTTAAAACCAATGGTTCTGTTGGAGCACTCGCTTAGCTGTGTGCTTCGGCACCGTGAGCTGTGGGTTCGATTCCTTAACGGGACAAGTATTTGTTTGTTCGGCGTTTGAGTGTTTATTCATAAGAAATGTATGTATGGAATATGCCCATGGTTTTAAAATTTGACAGCAATGGGAATTAAAATTTGGCTCGCTGTGGGAATCTTACTTTTTCTATAAATTACATCTACTCACAGAAGACCAGCGTAAAGTGGAAGTATGACAAATAATTTCGCGTTTCGTCTGGTGAGTGAGGTAGCCGGAGCCCAATTTTCAAAAGGTTGTCAACGCATCTGTAACCCTTCACTTAACATCAGGTGACCCGTCTGCTCGTTTGGCAACTTTTCGAATAAAAAAAATATTGTTTAATCTTACGTGCACTATAAAAAATTCTAATTTCTAAAAAGCAAAAAAAATGGTTTATATGAGAATAAAACTTCATCCGGCATAAGGCTCGCGAGGCTTTTGTTTGTTGTAAGTCATTTCTAAAATTGTAAAACGAGTTGTTCAGTTAAACGGAAATATACATTTCGGACGCTATGCGAAATCTGTATTACTCCGATATATAACGTTTAGCCTCAATCGGTTGATTTCCCCAGGGAGGGCGCCTGGGACCGCTAGTTCTCTTATCGCACCTGTCCCGATAGCGAACGTCCCACGACTCTCCGTAGCAGATACCGATTATAAGCACAATGCACACTAATAATCGACGAGAGATGTGAAATTTTGTAGAGACGGCTTGTTATGGCAAAATTTGTTCAGCTGTTTCTAGCATTTTTCGTGTTTGTACTCTTGTACTCTTCAAATAAAGCCAAGGCAGACCAATCAATGTATTGGAATTCATTCGTTCTTTCTCACTCACATACAAAATGTGTATACTATGTGTGTGTGATGTTGATGATGATTGTTAAGTGATCCATGGACATATAGAATACATGAAAGCACTTGTGTCTAACAACAAAACAGGCCTCTCTGTCTTGAAACGAAATTTAAATGTGCGAGTATAATTGTCTCCATTTTATGTCTACCTTATTAGAAGACGTGGAACCGATTGAGTCTACCACAGTTATGCATTCGACAAACTGGGGTAGGGCCACGCAAAAGTGTTCTCTGTGGCACGAATGGGTAGGTCCGTCCGGGTAAGTACCACGAACTCACAGAAGACCGGCGCTAAGTGGAAGTGTTATACTTCTGCGTTTCTTTTGGTGAGTGAGGTACTCAGGGCCCACTTTCTTAAAAAGTGGCAACGCATTTGCAACCCTACGGGTGTACGCGGCGATTATCACTTAACATCAGGGGAACCGCCAGAACGTTTGCTACCTTCTTATAAAAAAAATTGTTTACAAAATCAAGCCAATGGGAATAAAACATGCAAAAGTAAATGTCAGTAACATCAACCACGTGCATTTAAACATTAAAGGGCTGATTGCGTAATGATATTACAGTTCTCTACTCGTAAATCAGTCACATACAAACTTCAGCGCCATTTACAGCGTCGTTCGCAAGGTGGTTGCTAAAACAAAGAGCGGGAGAAAGCACTGTTTGCTGTTAGTTTAAGCAAGGCGGTGCGGAGCTAACCTCGCGCCAAATATTTCAAAGATTAACTGACCGCAGCGCTAGATCCGCTGGAATGTGCCTATCGGAAGAAATTTCCGTAAACATACGTCTATTTGGGCATATACTGGGAGTATTGGGCGCCGATTTTATTTGGTCAGGCAGTGTAGGGTCACGCAACAGTGTTCGCTGTTGCACGAATGGGCAGGTTCGTCCAGGTTAGTACCGCGACCTCACAGAAGACCGGCGTGAAGTGGAAGTGTTGTACTCCTGCGTTTCGTCTGGTGAGTGAGGTAGCCGGGGCCCACTTTATCAAAAGGCGGCAACGCATCTGCTACCCTTTTTTTTTTTTTTTTTTTTTTTTTTTCGTGGGAAAAATCCTTTATGGATCCCCTGCCACTGGATGGGAGAAGTGGCAGGGGTATGTGGGAGTCCCGTTAAAAACGGTTACCCACTTTGCACCTGTCTCTGTCGCATCAGCCGGGGACACGGGAACACGTGAACGCAATCTTCCGCGACCCCGGCGCGACTATGGCCCCTTTACGCCTCCTCTACTACATAGTGCTGTGCCCGTGCAATTGGCACAGCACACATCACGAGCCCCATATTGAGCGACAGACACTCCCATGTCTGCCGCTCAGGGTCTCACCAATCAGGGGGGAAGGTTGCGCGCGTAGGCCAGCCTCCTGCGCCCTGGTCTCCGGCGGCGAATTTCCAGGGTGGCAGTTGCCTCCCTTTCCCTCTCCGCGGCCTCCTTCCGGGTGATAACGTCCTCGCAGTATGCGAGGACAGCACCCCACGCCCTCTCGCTGTCAACCATAGCGCGAACCACGGCTGGTAGCGAGAGGTCGTGCCCCACGATAGCGTACAGCTCTCGGCGCTGCTCCGTCCAGGCTGAGCACTCCTCCAGTGCGTGTTGGGCCGTCTCCTCGGCACATACGTCACAGTGGTGGCATTCCGCTGTGGGCTCCCTCCTCGCCACGCAAAACAGGTACCTCCCGAAACAACCATGTCCCGAGAGGACCTGCGTTGCACGGTAGGTAAGGGTGCCGTGTCGCCTATCCAGCCACCTCCTG